TCCCAACGAGCTTCCAAGCCCTGGAACGAGCCACAGTCCACAACTCCAGCCTGAGCTGTTTGTCACTGCAAATTAGACCTTACGCATTTTAATATTTTTTACCCCGCTTTAACACCGAGCGAAAGCCACAGAAGACGAATTCGCTTAGCACACGGAAATCAAGCATTTGCACAGAAAGCGGTATGGAGGGGACCAAAACAAAAAAAAAAAAAGAAAAAGAAAAAAAGAAATCAAGGTTTCTCTGCCTTAAAACCCACAACATCCTCCCCCAAACAAACAAGCAACCCCCAAATCTCTGCGATTTCCAAGCAAAACCACCTCGTCTGATGACACTCCGCAGCGTTGGCTGCAAGGACCGAATTTGGGGTTTTTTTGCATAAGTACATGCACAGCACATTTTCTCCATATAAACAGCGAGAGGACGAGTTCTCAGAGCTGCCTGCTCCTTTTTCTCAGCTCGAATACACATATATTTAAGAAAAAAAAAAAAATACCACAAAACACAACGAACCAAACCACAGCCCCAAACCCAACATTCCTAGGAAGAATATTTCTTTTTTTTTTTTTTTTTCCCCCAAAAAGACAGCAACAAGACAGAACATTACGGTGCCAATTTCTGGAGGAGAAGTTGGCAGGGTAGAGAGCACATTACTGCATATTCGCATTCCTCTTATTAGCCATGGATGATTACTAATTGCTGAAATTAGCTACCGGTAATGAATGCTTCCCTTACCTTTTGCTTCATTGTCAGAATTGTCAGTGCTGGTGTCAGTGCTTTTATTCAGCTCTTTCTCGGCTTCCGAAGGACTGGTTTTGGGTGCTGGGGCGCTTTTTTCTGTTTTAATTTCGTTGGTGGCTGGGTTCTGAGGATTATCTGTTTTGGTGTTTTCGGGGAAACTCACTTTAGGCACCGGGGGCGGCGGAGGAGGTGGAGGAGGTGGTGGTGCTGGTTCCAGATGCTCATTCCTTGGGTTCAGGCTCGCCCTGGCTTCAAAACTTGCCTCAAACTCATTTGGATTGCTGCAGTTTGACGTCTTCTCCATGGAGGGGTAACCTTGGCTCGCCCGGTAGTAGCTAGGAACGGGGACTTCATGGTCATTTAGGCAAGGCTCAGGCATTTGGTTGGGGTAGAGGGCTGTCTCTGTGGCATTTTTTGCTCTTTTATCAGCGTTATACATACAGCAAACATTCTCTTCCTTGACATTGGTTGGGAAGGAGCAGGATGGGAGCTGTCTTGCAACAGGTTGCTCGATCCTGTACGTATTTTTGGGGTCACACCAAGTGTCTAGCTGAGAAAGGTAAGATGGATAGGTGCTGAGAGACAAGGTAGCGCTATTCACCTCGTCCCTTTTGGAAAGAGATGGGATAATTCCACAGTTCCTCATGACTCCGCAGCTGAAATCGCTCCCAGGCTGCATGTACATCCCTTGGCTGGAGGAATAATTCTCCCCTCTACAGGTCCCGGCCAACGAGTCCATCAAAAACGAGTTAGAAGTCACATTGTTGGGACATGACATTTTCAGAGAGGGTTTTTAAGGAGGAATACTCCAGCCAGGGGCTGACATCTTTTTTTTAGGGGGAAAAAATATCAAGCACCATAATTATCCACGCATCGCTCTCCCCCCCTCC